GAGCGCTGGCCTGYCACCTCTGTGGACCCTSTGCGAATCTCGGTCGGGGCCCCATATGTGATTTGAGTTTCTTTCAATCTCTACCTTGCGTCGATGGTTTTTCCGGGTCTTTCCTGGTTTTCCTCCCGTCGTTCGTTGTTATGTAAAGGAAGTGCCTAGCCAGCAGCACGCCTATGTATAAGTGTATGTAATACATGTCTGTAATATAGCACTTCCAYWTGAGACCGCGTCGAGCTGCGTCTTTCGCAATTCAGCACCCATGCTGCCATGAACGACGATWAGCACCCAACACCTTTTCCTTATACGCATGTGCGTACTAGTGGCAAGGAAACAAGGAACAATTTTTCTCGAAACGCTGGAAATCGCATGCATTTCCAAGAGTTATTATTTCAAAATTGGTGATTGTTAGACCCCTACATCCAAAATATGTGGCGCTGTCCCTGACATGTGCGTGCGTGGCTGCTGTGGTCGTGTCGATTGTAACAAAGTTCAAAATGAAGAAAGCCTTGGAGGAGGACAAAAAAGAGGAATTTTCTGATCCTTGTGACAGGTTCCGAAGATGAGAAAGGGAGACTTTTCGACTTTTTAAAAGATTAATATGAATTCACACACCCAAAATTTAACATTTTAACCCATAGAAGCATTGATTTACTATAGTTTTCATGATTTTGTTTCTTTTTTTGTTGAAAAATATCTAATAATCATGAAAAATGGATAATCATTAATGATACCATAAGAAATTGACTGAAACAGAGCCCTTTTATGCCACTTTTAGTCACCGGAAATTTTCCAATGTGAGCCGAAGGTCAGCAGTTATTAAAACAAAAACAAGATGGCGGATAGGGAAATTACTAGAATTTTATCGTACTTTCGAAGGCCTTTATGAAAAAACTGCAAGTTTTTAGAAGTGACAACAGGCAGATTTGCATTCAGTAAGTAAAAAACTATAGATTTATGTGATTTCAAAGTAGTTCTGTGATGTGGGCAGCGAAACTGAACCATAATAGACCACAGAATACGGCCTAGCAGCAACACTGATTAGTGCAAAGGGACTTCAATTAAAACAAAAACAAAAAACATGAGATCGCGAGCTGTAATTATTTAAAGCTTTAATTAAGCTCTAATTTTTATGRCTTTAGAACTGAAACTGAATTTWGATTTCTGCTGTGAAAAAGTATAACGTAGCATTGAATTGTTTAAAATTGCGTGGGTAATCAGAGTTAGCTCTGGGGTAATTGATATAATTAAAAGTAAGGCATGGGTCGCATTGAGCAAAGTTTTGTTTAAATTATTTTCACCGATATAGAATTTCTAAATTCAAGTTTTGACAGTTCAAATATTTTACCGAGGTCGCACTAGAGTCATATATTCTGACATACAACAAATAAAAAAGTAGATTAAATTACTGTTATATTTTCGCGGGAATAATAACGCGGCAAGATGGATATGCGAATGTTATTTGTGGGTTTAGGATTTTTATTGTACAGCCAAATGCAGAATCAACAGCGGATAATGGCCATAATGCTAGTTCTCTTGCAATACCAACAAGATCGTATGAGGATCGCTGTGATTGTAAGAAGAAGGCAAAGATTGCGGAGGATTTTTAGCCGTCGCCGTTTAGGCCCTTGGTCTTGGACTCTTCCACGTCCTGCTGAATCGTGGTTCGAGATACATGTAAACGACCACAACATCCCAGATAATTACCTTAGAAAGCAACTTCGTATGAACAGGAATACTTTCAATGCATTCCCAGGTTGAACATCTTACCAAGATCCATGTAAGATCCTGGCATGATCTTCACAAGATCATGGTATGTTCTTACAAGATCCTGGCAAGATCCATTCCCAAGATCATGTAAGACCATTCAAGTTCTTGCAGGATCCTTCAAGGTCTTGCCAAGATTATTCCCCGATCTTGCCAAGATGACACCATGATCTTGTCAGGATCATGTCATGATGTTGGAGGATCATGGCATGATGTTGGAGGATCATGGCATGATCTTATGTAGATAGCTTTTGAAATCTTGTTTATATTTTGAGAATCTTGCAGGATCTTGCAAGATCATGGTAAAATCATTATAATATCCTCTAGGATCATGGCATGATCTTATATTATATCCCTGCAACTATATGTAAGATCTTGACATGATCATGTCATGAAGGATTATGCAAATTGCGTACATGTGACATCCATAATAATTGAGTGAGCCAGATGTTCTGATAAAAAATGTTTATTTACATTCAAACCACTAGAACTAGATTTACATGCACCATACTCTATAAAGAACAATTTCTAATTTAGCTTATATTACATCAAGCATCACAGAGACCTCAAAAAAGCTATTATTCATGAAGAATCAAAATCATTTATAAATTAAACCTTTGCTTTCTTTTTTTGTTTTGCAATATTTCATTAATACAATCATAAAGTGCAGATTGTCATTGAATGGCAATGAAGGGGAGAGAGTATCTATCTAATTACTAAACATTATTATTTATATTTGCTCTCCTTTCTTCCATGTTTAACTTCCTGGAAGTGTCTCTGCATTTCTGGTTGAGACAGTCCACAATGGCCACAATGTAGCAGAAAGCACATTATCAAATCCATACCATAAATAGTATTACATAATGCAATCTTTCTTACTGAACAGAAGTCCAACTCTCTCTGAATCAAGAGGAGGCTTCTGTGACCTCCTGGTCGCAAAAATGACAGAACTCATCATTTCCTCCWGTGTAAAAAGCTTTTCAAGCAGCTTGAGTGCACATTTGTGCGGCTCTKTAGCTGGAGCTGACACATTGCACAGGTTGTTGCCATTGTACATCTATAGAAATAATAGTAATCAATATCATTAGTCCATTTTATCTTACAAGGCTAGTCTTGTTGATTAATCAACTACTGTAAAATAACTTACTATTTTGATATCGGAAACCACTGCAGTCTCACTGCCTTGATGTTGATGGTGGTGTTTCAGATTTTGCCTTAAATAAAAGGATTGAAAAGCAATASACATTAGCTATGGACAAAATCATTTTTATGGATATCCTGACATACCCCAACACAATAATTGATACATAATAATATTTCTTTCCAACACAATAATTGAAACATAATAATATTTCTTTCCTTAACCGCCGACCGGTTAGCTCAGTAGGTAGAGCATCGGACGTGCGGGAGGTCGCAGGTTCAAACCCCGGCCGGACCAACACTCAGGGTCTTAAAAACAGTTACCCATTTTAATCTGTACTTTACCATTTTAATTTGTACTTTAGAAATTGATGAATTTGTGTGTTCCAACACGCATTTCAACCAATCAGGTTATAGTATTTCAATAGATCAACTTCAATGTGGGCTAAACACGCATATCGGCCAATCAAAGTGTCCTTTGGTAATATGATATTTCTGTAGTGCGGGTCAAACACGCACATCAGCCAATCTAAGCGYTCTTTGGAAATGTGATATTTATGTTGTGCGGGTCAAACACGCATCACAGCCAATCACAGTGCCTTATTATAATTTCATGTTTTCTTGTGCGGGTCTGACACKCATATCGTCCATTCAAAAGACGTCTTTGTAGAGCAGGCTAGTAGTTTGCTATTATGATTACTACTGTGGACCATTATCGCGTATTCAATCAGGAAATAGTATCGATCATGCTATACATTTGAATTTCACATCTTATACGCAATTYAAAACGTTTAAAAATCGTTTTCKCTACTTCGTTTATTAGCAAAAATRMAAACTAGTGATAGACAATCAGAGTTTAAACAATAAAATCGAGTAACAAAATATAAAGAAAGCATTCGTTTAGACACATAGCCAATTACATGACTTGTTATCCGCTTTGTTACTCCAGCAAAACACTGCACATTGATGAATCGATGATGAAAACAACATGSGGGTCAAACACGCACATCAGCCAATCTAAAGTGTCCTTTGGAAATGTGATATTTATGTTGTGCGGGTCAAACACGCATCACAGCCAATCACAGTGCCTTATCATAATTTTATGTTTTCTTGTGCGGGTCTGACACGCATATCGTCCATTCTTATCTATTAGTAAAATATCGTTTTCTCTACTTCGTTTATTAGCCAAAATGCAAACTAGTGATAGTCAATCAGAGTTTAAATAATGAAATCGAGTAACAAAATACAAAGAACGTATTTGTTTAGACGCATAGCTCGTTATGACCTCTGTTACTCGTGCAAGTGTGCTACACTGCAACATTGATTATCGATGATGAGAACAACATGCGGGTTAAACCGCAAGAGGATAAATGACCTTCCTTTTAGTTTGTCAAATAGTACGATTTTAGTACGATTGACATCGGCTAACAGTCTGTCAATTGACAATTGTCCTGTAGATTGTCAATATATATTTTAATGAAAAAGAAACATTCGTAATTTTCGATGAATTCACGTACATGAAAACTGTTTTAACGCCGTTAAGGACGAACGATAGGGCAAAACGTTTTCCACATGTTTCAGAGAATAGCATTCATAATTTGTTCGTAAGTGCGTCAAACGTGCATTTAGGYGCTCGGAWGTATTTTGAATTAGGGTAGACTGGCTCAATAAAATGTTAACCCTCTGGTGACTGACCAGATTTTGCCTGTTTTTGATGGTCATTTAAAAAAAAATTATATCTCAAGAATGAAAATAGCAAACACCATGTTATACATACCAAAATATAGCTAAACGTTTGTAGTTTCAGATGATATGAAAATTTGTGCATATTAAAGTATTAGTTATTTTACATATGCTAATTTATGCTAATTTTTCACAGGTGCGTGACAAAATTTTGAWRCAAAAGCTCATATTTCACTATTAAATTTCTAATATTATCCAAACTGTTCAAAGAAAAGTTTTAGAGCATCATAACAGCTATCCATATGCAATCTTTGATAGGTATTAGATTTATTGCAATGGAATGATAATTTTTTTTCACAATGCAGAAATTTGCATAATAATTAGATAAATGTCCAATGGGTCAATCATACCAAAAATCATTATTATTTGAGTTGTTGTTGAATAAAAAACATCATCTGAAATGTTTTTTATTCCCTTTCTCACCAAATACAAGCAATTGTAAGCAAATAGCATTTTTTGGAATTTTTTATTATTTTTATTTCATTTTTATGCAATTTTTCGAATATTTTTTATTTGTGATAATTATTATTATGMCATACTTCAAAACAATTTTTATTTTGTGAAATATGGAGGTAAACTCCACACTGAGGAGCACTACAATAAGATACAACTTTTAATTCAGTTTTAGTTGTGTCATAACAAACTTGACAATTTCTTTTTTTTGGAGAAAAACGAGGAATGTGAACAGCAGAAAAATCCCTGCGAACTTGCTTCGGAGGCCTTARAACTGGTGGCTGTCCATATTCCTCAATACCAGCAAGTTGTCTTACCAATTCTTCTCTATATTCAACTATTGTATATTTTCTATTGCGCTTCAAAGCTACATCATCTGGGTGTTCTGCGCGATGCAGGCGAAATAAAAGGTATGAATTTATGACAGCGATATCTACTAAATGAAAAAATAAAGTCTTCCACCAGCGCATGCATTTCTTCAGCACAGAATTTTTAGATATCATTTGATCAGATCTATCTACAGCATTCATATATTTATTATAATCCTGAATAGTTATAGGTTGCTTTACTTTCACTTGCCACCTCTGATCAACCTTTTCCTTTCTCTCTACATACACAAATTCACAAGCATTGTGAATCGAGGATAGCATTGTGACTGGCCGGTTGTCTTTCCATTGTAATGCTAATACCTCTCCCTCCCTAACCCATCTCATACTTCCTCTCTCTTTTCTTCTTGCCCATACTTTCCCCTGCTTCATAGCCTCTGGGAAGCCCCGCCTATTCTCAGCGGTAGTACCGCATGATGGTAAGCCAAGACTAAACAGATCAGATACGAGTCGAGGAGAAGTGTAAAAGTTATCAAAATAGATGTGATATCCCTGATTGATAAGAGGATTGACAAGCTTCATAACAACATCATATCCTAAACCATGCTCACTTGGTGGCTCATTGTTATTTCTACCAATATAAACATCAAAATCATAAGTATACCCATTGATGCTATCCGCAATGACCCATAACTTTATACCCCACTTAGTTGGTTTATTTTTTATATATTGCCTTATACCAGAACGATGTTTTGACTTTACCATCCTTTCATCTACTGCAACCCTCTGAAAGGGCTGATAAAGTTCTTTACATTTTTCCTTGAAGGCATCCACGAAACTCCTTACTTTTCTAATTTTGTCAATACGCTCCTCTGAATCAGGGTCGACAACATGTAACATAGCCATTRGAGCTTTGAACCTGTCCCTTAGCATAATTTCCCTAGCCCAAAGACCATGATACAGAGTCTTACTGCTCCAGTACCTGTGAATGGAGGTCACATTCACCAGACTGAAATAAATGACTAAAGCAATAAGCCTCTCAATTTCACCCTGATCCGTATTTATCCAAGAGCCATCACTATCAGAATAATACTGCTTTCTCTCTATTGATCCCCAACCATAGGTRTTTGTATGCTCAACAATTTGTAATAAAATGAAATCTGTAAAAAATAGTTTGAAAAAATCAACAGCTCTAGTCATAGTGCCCCTTAACATCTGAGCATTTGGTAGGTGTAAGCCTGGGGGACGACGTGGTGTGAAAGGTGGCAATGGATGAACAGCATTGTCCTGGTCATCATAAGAATAACATTGCCCTATAGCCKGTTGCTGGTTCCTAACTACCCCACCACGAGCCCTGCCTCTTCCCCGAACATTACCCCCCCTTCCCCGCCGGTGCAATCCCCGGGCCCTGGCAGCTACCCTACCTCTTCCCCTAGCCCTTCCCCTCCCTCTAGCTCTTCCTCTAGCCCTTATCTGACCTTGTATATGCTCCTCATCACTCCCACTTCCCTCACTAACACTAGGTTCTTCTTCTTCTTCTTCTTGATCTTCACCTTGGTCTTCCTCTTGCTCTTGTTCATCCATTTCTTGCTGCATCGGGACCTCGGAATCACTGGGTTGTAGAAAAAATACATAATATTTCAAAAAATGACAAATAAATCCAGAATAAATTTTGATAGAACTAATGGAGGATCAAACAACCAAATAGCATGTCGGTCATGATATATAATCGTTTTTCCATACAAAAAGCAAATGTTTATGGGTATTCCTTGTTATTTTTCATATACTGTATTTGCCTAAATTTGCTTCTTTAGATAAGAAGTCACTGCATACTTGCAGTACACAAGAACACCATTTTATAGACTTTTCATACTTTCAATTGAACCGTCCATTTGATGAATTGAAAATAGAAGAACTAGAGAACATGTCCAATGGTATTTGGTGTTTGTAATGCTTTTTTATTTACGTTTTAGAAGGAGAATACACATTTTAGCGCGTCGGATATCGAATTTCAGCGTCATGACGCTATGAAAAGAAAACTTGCAAATTTTCATGTCTTCGAACTAAAATTATAGCAAAAACCTATTCAGTACTAGAAGTAATACATTTTTCTTTTATTCCCTGTCKTTAGATTACTCACTAAATGCACGGTGAGCGATATTTTGAAAGTCGAAATACACACTGCATGATGCTTTGATCGAAGGTCATGTTGACATAAGTCACAGTAACAGGATTTCAGTACACATAAAACTTCAACCAAAATACGCGGTAATAACAAGAATTATGGAAAAAAATCAAAGTTTTTTCAAAGTCTATAGTCTTTTCAATGTGTTAGGACTTGTTAGTACTGCATTTCAGCTTTCAAAGTAGTCAAAACACGGACATTATAAATCCGCTACGCGGGAAAATAAAATCTCGGGGTCAAGCTACTTACCTTGGCTCAGAATTAGACCAACTTCCATCCTCCATTTCGGCATCCAAATCGCTTTCTTCTTCGCTCGAAATCCCTCCACATTCGCTGTCAATATCACTCATTTCATCGCCGGAATTTCGAGCACAAATCTCTGCTACTTGTTCGGCAGTGAACGTGACACGAGATCGCTTCACATTCGACGCCATATTGACACAAGCTTATAGTGCGAGCATAAGAATTCAAACCCATTTTATATCTTTCTACACGTGCACACACCTCTCAAATGCTATAATATGATTGGCTATAACCTAGAGACCATGTCAAGCAAGTTTGATAAAAATAAAATAAAATGCGTGGCAACGAATTCGAACGATATTTTATAGGGTCCGTCACCAGAGGGTTAAAAGTTCGTATTGTGTCACGAAATAGCGGTTTCGCATCTGAATCGATAATTTCCAAGATGGTCGCCTTCTCGTCAAATGCCCGCCCGTCTGCTCCTAAATCAGTCAAATTCCCCACTATACGGAGGTAAAGTCGTGTCAAATGCCCGGGGTTTTGTGGTAATAAAGTATAGTATTTTAAGAAGCAACATTCATTTTCTACAAATTCTTTGAAGCTGTTGATWAAGTCTAAGAAAAGATGGAAGAAGGGCTTATAATGGTTCTTACTACAGGCTAAGCAAACATCATATAAACTTTTTGCTGCGAAAACAAACTTGTGACAGGCACGGCCACASCAATCAAGAAAGTTKCAATTTTTTCACAACAGTGACTGTCATGGCAAGTTGAGGTATATCACTATGCTCAAAATACTATACAATGTGAAAATGCCAAGTATACAGGATATTTTGACATAATTTCTCTCAGTGAAATAAACTTTCTCACAGATTCTGGCATAGTGCAGAAAAAAGTGAAATAGTGCCTGTATAATTACAAATTAAAAGAATATCAATATAATTTGAATTCCAAAAATTGCAATTACAGCAAGCTGGTTATCAAATAAAATGGTATCATTAGAGTGCACACCTCAAAAGCATGAAACAATTCAATAACAATCAACAACTAATAAGCTATAGTTATCAACTAGCTAAGAATTCACTAGGGCATGAACACAAAATTCTTCGTTACTTAATAACTAAATCTTACCAGGCACTAATTAGTTAAGRATCATTTCACACTTATGTGGCATGCACTCTATGCAATATTATCAATATTCTTTGGAGAAAAAGTCTAGAAAAGTCTAAAATTAATGNACATTTCAATTTCAATTATGTACAATAGTCAGACTTTGCTAAATCATTGAGAGGTTATTTAAAATTACAAAAGTTCAATTTAGTAATAAAAGCTTGGTATTTTTTAACCAAGTTATATCCAATGTGATCAGTACACCATCGCTTACTTTAATACTTAAAACGGGTAAATTTGGATTTCAAACACTTCGCTACTGCATGGGATCATAAGTAAGCGACCGGTAGTGATAATAAAGAATAAATTTGTAAAAGCGCGCCAAACCAATGGCATGTCAGGCATGTACTGAAGAATCCCGAGGTGCTTGGTTCTAGACTGATTTTCCAACAGTCGCTATTACATGTAATTTTAGTTTGAGCCTTTATTATGCTATAAAGTTAAGTGCCCATTGAAGGCAGTCTCCCAGTATTTCAATCCATGTTCTCAGTGCAAACCATAGGCCATGAACCACGGAATTTTTGATTTTCTGTCGGAAAATCCGCGCCATCATCGTTTAAATGTTACTGATTTTCAAAAATGTATTCGCAAGAATCTSGAAATAATCTCTTCCCAAGTACACAACTAACGCGCTGCCGATCCAGTGCTTCTGTGACATTTCTAAGGTATTGAACATATAGAGTGCTAGGCTATCCTGTCTCCAAATTGATAAGGTTGTCAAAGTTGAGGTTTTGACATAATGCGAATGGGCTTTCGACCATCTGAATCATAATAATTATAGATTATTTATTGTAGAATAAACATCAATTTCTACGAGAAAAGCCGGCTAGCATGTTTACTTAAAATGGTTAYTGAAAAAAGACATAAGACATGAATAATTTTGCGCGCAAATTGAAACAAACTCAACTGCGGTTCGATGCAATACTTCTGTAGATAAGATTACGATAATACGCTTATGATAGTGAAGTCTTGAATGCTCGAATTATCAAATGTCGGAACCAAAATACCATAAACAAAAATGCATGGGGTGGATTCCATGTAAGCTATTCGGCAAGTATTTGCACCAGCTTGTTCCCTTATAACAGGAAGAGTGTAGATCCAGATATGTCATAAGTTGTGAGCTACAGCGGGTTATGATCTTGATAATKTCTCCGCAATTACGTATCTGTACTCGTCAATGTCAGCCTGAAATGATAGATATTCTTATTATCAACGTCACTGACACCAAATGACATTGCTCTATATATTTTCATCAAATTACCTGTGAAAACTCTATGGCCGGTGCGCCTAACATGATTTCCTCTGCAATCTGGGAGAACATTCAAAAAGATTTCAATATGGAATCACTCATTTATGCAGGACACAACTTTATTATACACAACTATTATTTCGGTATACTTACCTTTAAGCAAAAAACACCGCAGCTTACASTATCTGTTTGCTTTGGGTGTGGAATAGCTTTCTGTTCAAAAGGGCCTTCCACATTTCGCTTGATCAGAAAGGACCTTTAGGAGTGATAGATTGTGTTTGATTACTCCCTATCTATGCTAATGAGCTATCCGCTCATGTTTGCTTTAGCTCAATGAGTTTCTTACCAAAGGACTTCAAAAAATTGTGCGTTGTTTTCGCACATACCAAGTGGGTCAACCAATGATATAGTTTTGTTTTCCAAGTTTACCACCTGAAACAGATACCACCTTAGACAGTAAGAATCGAATTCAAGAGATGAGCGGAGAGACGGTCTGTGAATATACGATCAACGATAGACCGTTTTCTAATTTTTTAAGTGTTGGCAGTACTTACGCCCAATCTCCAATGATTTGAAACACCSAATTGCCCTGGAAATAGCAATAATTTGTAGCTGCTTATATTGAGCTGAAGAGTAAAAAGAAAATCACCGCTCGTAAGTCTAAGAGAAAAACAATCTCGATAGCAAAGATTTATACCTTATACCGCCATTTCTTGTTTTGCTTGATTTGCTCGTAGAAACGGCAATTTCCGGTAATGACGCGCTTTCCCTTGTGTAGAAAAATGAAAACACATTTTTCACTAGTCCTGTGCAAAATTCTAATGYAMGTTTTTTCTGAACTTACTAATTTGTTTGCTTTCTTCTCGAGATGAGTGATGTAGACATCCATAACCTACCAATCACGTAATATACCAAGGATTASTACAAAAAACAAWACACGACATACATGCACACATTGACTGTTGATCATGACTTTTTACTCACTTCGTCATTCAACCATCCGGGATTCCATTCTTGGCCATTCATTAAAGAAACCATAAGGTCTTCATCGTCGGTTGACATTCGGACTTGGAGGGTTTTTAGTGACTTCCAGGTCACGCTGCCCACATTCCGATGAGGAGCGGTGTTGTCGGCCCACTTATTTTCTACCTAAAATATAGAGTATGGTAACTKTTAAATGCTATAATTTAGATTAGGTAAATGCATACAAGGTTTATGAGTGTTCACTCCCTAGCTATCACCTTATTTAAGTCAGGTATCATTTAGTTCGCAGTCACGTAATGCCGCATTTACGGTCTAGTCCACTCATAGAAAAATCATCACTTACATTTGAATGTCTCTCCTCTTTTTCGAGGAGTTCCTTACAGCTGTGGAAGCTGGAAAGGTTTACTTGAAAAGACATTTGATTACTTTCGCCTGAATTAATCGGATTTAGGTCTTCTTGAAAAACTTGGTGTTTGTAGATCTGCTGGACGACCTCGGTTTTTGGCCACTCCCATTTATCGGAATCTTTTGACTTAACCAAAAAGCTTACAGACAGCTTATTTTCAAGTTCTTCCACAACGCGGCCTACGAAATACATTGAGCAGTCTGTGTATGCAACAGCTACACATTTTTCCTGAGAGGTAACAATGAATAAATAAATAAGTTAATGAGAACTTGAAAGAYTAATAGCCTTCCCAGATCATAGTTCATACCTTTACCAATTTAAGATCTTTTGGGATTTGTTCAGCTTTGCCCTTGCTCTTTTTTGTTTTTGGTACTTCCTGAAATAACAAAATCATAAAAACGATGGAGCACTATCAATTAGAGAACTCGAAAGGTTTCAACTAGGGTTTACTATTACAATTTCACTTACCGTTTTCTTGGTTTCTGTGGCTTGCCTTTTTATCCCGATTTCTGGAGATTTATTGATTTCTCTTTTCTACATCAATCATTGCATATAAAGTCATAAAAGGGAAATAAAGACCTTAAGTAAAATCAAAGGCACTAAGTATTTTCCAACTACCTCAAGTTTATCGACATCATCATCACGAGCGTTGTTCACTTCAGTCGATATGTGTGCGGTCATCTGCATTAATAACAGTAAATGTTAATACACACCTAGCTTAAAAGATAGGTGTGCACCCGAGGGTGATATTTTCAATTCATATTTGTAATTTTACTATACCTCATCGTTTGACACTGTTTCGCCAGAATCATAGTAGCATACTTCCTCCATTACGAGACAGACAGTGTCAGTAACCTTGAAAATATGATAATGTGATTGTTAACTTCCAGAAATCTAGCTAGACAAGTCAAAATTGATAATGACAAAAATAGTTATGATGATAATAATAATTYATAGGTCCAACATACAGCCCCATAGGTCTGAGCCAAATACAAAAATATATATTGCAATTTGAAGTTTTAAGCTACATAGCGATAAGGATAATGATGAAAGTTTCGTGAATGATTAGTCCAAACCTGTATTTCGTGCACTGTCGTACTTTTTKAAATTCTTTGTTTTCGAATTGCTCACTAAATGCGTAGTAAATGTTTGCTGGAAATAAAAGAAAAAAATCCTTGATCGAATACATGTTCCTCCTACCCCACAGAGAAAAAGTACAGCAATCGATCTGAGATCTAGAACATAATGTGCACAATCCAGATAGAAGAAGTATACAGGGAATAGCATTGGCAGGATAATATTGTAATATCACCACATTTGTGTGGTTCGAACTTTACTTCGGAAAGGGTATTAACCTCTTCATGTAGTGAGTCTTGCTTATGAAGAACTTCAA